GAGCGTTTATGAACGTAGAAACGATCTATACGAACATTCTAGTCACTAGATATATCTACGGGCTTACCTCGAAGCTTATCGAAGGTTTTGAGAATTTTCCGGCGAGACTTCCGGCGAGGTTTGTGGCTAGCTCCGGCGACTTCACCCCAAATTGACAGCCCCACTTTGTTCTCTACACTCACAGCTTCATCTCAGAGTTTATTTGAAGGAATTTGATGAAGAAATGGATGAGATTGGGTTCCTTTTATAGGAGAAGAAGTGAAGAAGAAGACAAGGGTGTGACTCAGGATTCCATTTCTTCGTTGGTGATCGATTTAGTGCGCAGGACGGCGGATTTGTAGGATTTCACACGCCGTTCACTGATTGGGACTAATTTTGGTCCCAGTCGGGGTACACTTTTTGGTCCAACTTTCTCTGAATTGAATTCCGTTTGCACCGTTGTGATCAGACAATTAAACTCTATCCAACGAGATATAATTTTTATATTTATTCGTTATACTTTCTCCGACATCATATTTTTGGGTGTTTGACTTCGACAGAGTCAAAATTAGTTTAATTGACCTTTATCATAAAAGGTTCTCATATTTAATTTATTCTCATTTGTTCTAATGATTTATTTCAATAAATCATTTCAAAGTTTACGTCATAAATATTTTCTCCATCTATTCTTGATTTGGGTCTGTACTCAGGTTTCCAATCAAGACCACACAAATAGTCAACAAATTGGGTTTATCTCTATGAGATTTACCCTGCTTATGATATTGGATATCAAAACACATTTTATTTCGGCCCAAAGTCCAACAACAATTTATTTTAATCAAAATCAATTTGATTAATTGATTATTTATTTATTAATAATTCTAGGGTATATTTTGGGGCGTTACAAGCTCTACAATATTACTTTGAAATATGATATGCTTTTACGTACATTTTTAGTAATTTTTGGGCTTAGATAGAACTACGATGCTCGCAAAATCTATTTTTGTTTTATGCTTTATATTGATTGTTACTACGTATAATTTAATCCATTCACTTACCTAAGTTTCTGGTGCTATTCAAACTAAAAGACAATATTTAATAACATTATTTACTTTATTAAATATTTTGTAAATATGTACAAAAGTTAGAAAAAGATCATTGGCAGTATTGTCCTACAGTTCTTGTTCAAAATTCTCTCTCATGTCTTAAAACCTTTGATGTTTTGAGTTTTTTTGGTCGAACAGTTACATTTTTGTACCACAAACTAGACATATTCTAAATAAACAAATAATATAAAAATTTGATATATCAAAACTATATTCTAAGATGAACCCAACTATATTAATTAATATTAATTAAATATTCTTTTTTCAAAATTTATTGTAAAAAGTGTCACTGTTTGACCAAAAAATTAAAACAAGAAAATTTGTTAGGACTAGAGGGAGTAAGATATTTCATACTCTCTCCGTCCCAGAGTATTTGTCCACTTTTGACTTTTGAAACTGTTCATTTAAGCACTTTAACTCATCAAATTGTCTCAATGTGTAAGCCTAAATATAGTCATGTGTCATTTTGCTTGATTTGTCTTAACATATAGATTATTTATATATAATTTTTATAATTTTTTTTAATATACAAATTACAAGATAAAATGGATTAAAGAAGTGCAATAGATGATGTGTAAAAATGAAAGTGGACAAATACTATGGGACCGAGGTAGTATGCACATATTTCCTAAACTTCAATTAATTACATGCAAATAACCACTTTTTATTTTGTAATTTGAGCCGAGGTAGAACCACTTTTTTATTTTTTATTTTGTAATTTGAGCTAACACCATGCAAATAAAAGAAGGTTATTTGTATTAAATCACTTTTACGTCATCTCATTTAGTTTATTTACTCTTTATTTTGTACGAAGTAATGTTCAATAGAAAAATTAAGTTCATATAAGATTTAATTGTATTGTATTTTTTTAATTAAGTAAATTAACACAATCACATTTAGATAACAAAATACACTTTGTTATCAAAACAAGAACTAAATATAATGAGATTAAGATTTAAATATGGTACACTTTTTTTAATTTTACGATATGTTTATTTATTCTTTTTAAATTTTGAGTTCACATTTACTCCTTCCGTCCCCAAAAAATGTCCTCTTTTGAAAAACATGCAAAATCACATCCCTTTTAAAATGATTTTATTTATAGATTGGTATTAAAATAGAAAATATAACATACATATTTAAAAACTACATCAAAAGTTCTACAAAACAAGTGGTGACATTACTATTTTATTTTATCAAAATGTATTCTAGACTAAAAAATATATGTAAAAATACAATTATATGCTACCACTACATTTGTTTAAATAAATACACATGGTAATAAATTGAGTTTATTGATTAAGTATCACAATACATTACAAACTTCCGAACTCAAAAGCAACATGCTATACTTTGAACAATACGAAACAAAGACACGTAAAACAAAGATATGAGAAAAATTTATATTAAGATATAACACTAAATTTTAATTGGGGACTTGAAAGTCCGTCGCAGATATTAAATCTGCCACAACTTTTCTGCGACGGAAAAAATTCGTAACAGATCCGTCGCAGAATAGTAATCTGCCACGGAATTTTAAATTATGCCACGAAATTTTTCCATTGGAGATCAGCAATTTTCTTGTAGTGACAGAGCAATACTAGTGTGTGTGTGTGTGTGTGTATATATATATATATGCGCACATGGATTTCATAAATTATGTTTTTTTAAATATTCATAAGCTCAAACATAATTTTTATCATCTAAATTTTTTGTCTGTTTTCAAAAAAATATTATTTTAAATTATTTATTTCGTTCGTGTATCAATCTTAAAAATATCATATTTAACATTTAAGAATATAATAGTTTAAAACATAATATATGTAAATTATAAAAAGTTCGAATAAAAAAATTATATTGTATAAACAAAGTACTTCATTACTGGTAATTTTTACAAAATAATTACAAACCTCACTGTCCTCCTCCAACTCTCACATTTCAATATTAACTTAATATTTTTTTACGGTACTATTTACTTAACTACGGAGAGGTTCTAGTGCCACTGCACAGTCATTGAACACCTCAAATCTTTCATTCAAAAAATTGATAATTTACTCCTCTAACCTAACCTTGAGTAAAACCTCCCCACCTTGGCATAAACGTGAACCCATCCCCTACTCCGTCAAATGGCATCTCAGCGGCAAGTGGCAATTGAGCTGTGTCTAATTTGTTAATCGAGCTGTGTCAAATTATCATGTTCTCTTCACCCTACTCTGAATAATAATGATGATAATGATAATAATAATAATAATAAGTATATCAATAATAATAATAATAATAATAATAATAATAATAATAATAATAATAATAATAATAATAATAATAATAATAATAATAATAATAATAATAATAATAATAATAATAATAATAATTCTTGATGAGATCTGATTTTAATAAGTCCTAATCTGCTTTGATCTGATCTGATTGGATTTGATCTGATCTGATCTAATTAAATCTGATTGGATCTGATTCAATCTAATTTTAATAAGAATAAGAAAAAATAGGAAAAAATAAGTTGAACGGAACGGGACCTAAGTATCCACAAGGTCACAGCCACAGGAAAGCAGAGTGCTGATGTGCTTCACGTTAGTGGTATAGTAAGGTCTTTTTACCTTTTTTATCTTTGTCTATATCTATATCTCTATCCCCTGTTCTGACACTCTCTGTTTTGTGTTCAAACCCCATTTTCCACTCATTTCATTTCCAACATCTCCTTCCACATACAAACAAATTCAAAAACCCCATCTTCCATCTCCGGCCTTCTTCCTCATCTTCCCCACCACTCCTCAGACCGGCAAGACGACTTTGCCTCCGCCGCGGCCAAACCCTCCTCGACTCCCAGCAGGAAAAGCTTCGTCGCCGCTGCCCTCCGCGCCCCGTCCTTCAAGGTGGACACCTACTTCGCCTCCGAGCTCAAACACTCCGAGAAGAAGGCCCTCTCGGACCTCAAGATCGGCCTCGCCTCCCTCGCCCCCGCCGCCTCCATGTGGGGCATCCCCCTCCTCTCCGGCGACGACCGCGCCGACGTCATCCTCCTCAAGTTCCTCCGCGCCGGGACTTCAACGTCCCTGACGCCCTCCACATGCTGGCGAAATGCCTGGCGTGGAGGAAGGAGTTCGGCGCTGACGAGGTGGCAGATGAAGAGCTGGCCGGGTTCGAGGAACTCCAAGGGGTTGTGGCCTAGATGAACGGCTTGGTTCGGCCACCCGGTCTGCTACAACGCACACGGCTTGTTCAAAGACAAATAAATGTACCGCAGATTCTTTGGAGGAGACGGGGAAGAAGACGGAGAGGAGAAGCTCAAGAGATTCCTGAGATGGAGGGTTCAAGTTCTTGAGAGAGGGATAAAGCTTCTCCATTTCAAACCGGGTGGGGTCAATTCTCTGGTCCAAGTCACCGATCTTAAGGACATGCCCAAGAGAGAGCTTAGGGTCGCCTCTAATCACATCCTCTCCCTTTTCCAGGACAACTACCCTGAACTGGTCGCCCGCAAGGTCATTCATCATTCAAACTTCCTTTTTCTTTGGGTTTTCTTGGATTTAATTTCTGGGTTTTAATTGAATTTGAATGCAACTGATGATTTCTGGGTTTTTTTTGCAGGTGTTCATCAATGTCCCATGGTACTTCATTATGGTGTACTCAATGTTCAGTCCATTCATGACGCAGAGGACGAAGAGCAAGTTCCAATATGGGTTCATAATGGCTATCAGTTTTGTGTGTCAAGAATTGAGAATGGAGGTGGAGCAGGAAATCATCAAACCTTGGGAATGAAACGGGTAAAACTGTT